CACGCACACCCTTTCACACACACACACACGCACTCTCACACACACGTACGCACGCACACACACACAACGCAACACACCCGCGCACACACGCGCGCACTACGCGCGCACACGCGCGCACACAGGCAATTTCCGTGTGTCGCAACACACACGGGCCGAGCGGCGCGACCCCGGGGTTCAAAGCCGCGGGCCGTGGCCACTTGCCGTCATTCCTGGGGACGCCGCTGGCACGCCTTCAATCGCGGGGGGGCGCGTGGCGCGTGGCACGAGTGGCGGAGCGCGCCACGCGCGAGCGTGGGGGTGGCGCGCGTGGTGGAGCGCGCCACGCGCGAGCGTGGGGGTGTTGGGTGCACGACCGCGGCGGCCGTGGAGTTATGATTGCAAAACCGCTCCCTTCCGCCCCCTCCCCCCCCCCCCAACGGAGTCATTCGATGGAATTCCACTCTGCGACAAAGACAACAAAGATTCCACACCCCTCTCACCCCCCCCCCCCCCCTTCGCGTGCCAGTCTAGGTGCACTTTGGGGTCACACACACACTCACTCGGTAACACAACCGCTAACACACTCCATCACTCACTCGCGAACACACACACACACACACACGCTAAGACACACAGACACAAAGATTCCCCGTCCAGCCTTAACAGTGCTGTTAGCGAGCAGCGCCTATCAAGGCCGGCATGGCACACGAGGGGATGGTTGTCCAGCACCACGCCTGGCCGCCTTTGTCTCCCCGGTACAGAGACACCGCAACAGGTACTCATTTAAGACTGAGTCGACCTAGGGGAGGCCCCGCTTTGGATAATCACACCGGCTATTACCCGCGGCCGGGAATCAAACTGCGCCGTTGCGTTAGCGCAGCGCGCTAACCACCGAGCCACCACTCGCAGCCGCGTCTGTGTGCGTGCGTCTCCCGCCATAATACACGCGCGCAGACACGCACGCCGATTCACTCACTCAGCAAGCCTCTCACACCAACACACAAACACAGCGGCGGAGTGGCCGTCCCACGGCACCGCCACCCCCGGTGCACCACAGGGTCAGACCCCAGCACGGACCCCCCCCCCCCCAGCCATCGTGGCCACAGGTACCCCCCCCTCCCACTCTCGCTCTCTCGTTCTCCTCCGTCTCCTGCTCTGCTGGCCTCTCCTGCTCTCTCCAACTCCATCTCACCATCCCCCCCCCCCCTCCCTCTGCCTCTCTCCCGCCCTCCTGATCTCTCCCGCTCTGCCCCGCTATCTCCCCTCTCTCCAACTCTCCCCCCCCCGTCTCCCCTGCTCTTCCCCCGTCTCTCTCGCTCACTCCCACTCTCTGCCCCTCGCTCTCCCATCCTGCTCTCATCCTCTGCCTCTCTCCCACCCTCCTGGTCTCTCCCACTCTCCCGCTATCTCTCGCTCTCTGTCCCACTATCTCCCCCTCCCCCACCCTCTCTCTCCCTATCTACTGCTCTCCCGTCTCTCTTTCTCTCTCCCGCTATCTCCCCCCTCTCTCCCACCCTCCTAGTCTCTCCCCACTCTCCCCTATATCTCTCTCTCTCTGTCCCACTATCTCCCACCCCCCCCCCCCCACCTCTCTCTCCCTATCTCCCCCTCGCATACCGGTGACACTTATGGGGAGGAGCACGAGGAGGAGCAGGTGGAGGAGGAAACCGAAGAACCCGGAGAGAGAGAGAGAACGTAGAGACGACTCCAGACACGCACAAAGACCGGGGGGCGCCCCGAGTCGGGAATCGAACCCAGGCTCCTCGCTGCCACCGCGGGCACCGGCCACCGTGCCACCCCAAACTTCACCGCGCCGCGGCCGTGCGACCCAGCACACGGCCCCGCACGCACGCTCACAGCAGCCGCGAATGAGTTAGCACCCCTGCCAGCAAAGACAAAAGTCCCCCCCCCCCCCCGTGTAGCCTTAACAGACTGTTGGGGCAAGTGCCGTTAGCGAGGAGCACCTGTTAAGACTGGCACGGCACACGAGGGGGTGGGTGGGCAACACCACATCCGGCCACCTCCGTTTCCCCAACGGCGATGTTTGCACATCGTACCAGGTACTCATTTAAGGCTTAAGTCAGTCGACTTAAGGGTGGCCAAGGACAAGTTCAGATCCCTGTCACTGGTGGTGGTCGACAGGTTAGAAGCGCAACGCGCTAACCGCTGTACCACCCCGACACCGCCACCCCCCCCGCCACCACCACCACAACCCACGCTGACACCACCACCAACCCTGCCACCATCACCACCAAATACCGCCGCCACCACCAATCACCCCAGCCACCACAACCACCACCACCAATCACCCCAGCCACCACCAAATACCCCTTACCACCACCAACAACAACAGCCGCCGTTCGCCACTAAGTGGCGGTGACGTCACCACGACGCTTGTGCCAGGCCATGTGCACCTTTAGGCCACGTGAAGTGTCGAACGCCCGCTGGCAGAAGGTCACGGGGCAGACCCAGGTGCCACGGGTCGACTGACCACCACCATCCCCGCCACCGCCACCATCCCAGCCACCACCACCAATCACTCCCGCTAACACCACCAATCACCCCAGCCACCACCCCCATCACCCCCGCCACCACCGCCACCACCACCATCACCACCGCCACCATCACCCCCGCCACCACCACCACCAATCACCCCAGCCACAACCCCCATCACCCCCATCACCCCCATCACCACCACCATCACCCCCGCCACAACCCCCATCACCACCACCACCCCCGCCACCACCACCAGCTCCACCGGCTCGCCCCCCCACCCCCCTTTCCACAGCCATGTCCGCTGATCCCTTAACAACGCGCCGACTTAGCGGCCTAAGCCGCGTTTCCCGGCGCGGGAGGCGGAATTATCGCCCCCTGAGACGGAGTCGGTACCGGAGGCCCTCGATGCGAAACCGGACACCGGCCCGAGACATTCTGACCAGCGCCGCCTGTGTCTATTTGTGTGTGTGTTCGTCTGTGTGTGCCGTGTCTGTGTGTGTGTTCGTCTGTGTGTGCCGTGTCTGTGTGTGTGTTCGTCTGTGTGTGTTCGTCTGTGTGTGCCGTGTCTGTGTGTGTGCCGTGTCTGTGTGTGCCGTGTCTGTGTGTGCCGTGTCTGTGTGTGTGTTCGTCTGTGTGTGCCGTGTCTGTGTGTGTGTTCGTCTGTGTGTGCAGTGTCTGTGTGTGTGTTCGTCTGTGTGTGCAGTGTCTGTGTGTGCAGTGTCTGTGTGTGTGTTCGTCTGTGTGTGCCGTGTCTGTGTGTGTGTTCGTCTGTGTGTGCAGTGTCTGTGTGTGTTCGTCTGTGTGTGTGTTCGTCTGTGTGTGTGTTCGTCTGTGTGTGCCGTGTCTGTGTGTGTGTTCGTCTGTGTGTGCTGTGTCTGTGTGCACGTGTCTATGTGTGCGCGCGTTTATGAGTGCGTGAGTCCATGTGTGTGCGCTTCTGTGTGCGCACGTATGCATGAGGGCCTTTGTGTGTGTGTCTGTGTGCATGCGTCTGTCTGCGCGTCTGTGTGTGTGGTGTCTGTGTTCGTCTGTGTGTGAGAGTGTGATTGAGTGTGAGTGACAGTGAGAGTGTGAGAGTGTCAATGAGTGAGAGGGAGTATGAGAGTGTGAGTGAGTGAGTGTGCGAGAGTGAGTGACCACGTGAGTGAGAGTGTGAGTAAGAATAAGTGAGAGTGAGCGTGAGTGAGTGAGTGTGAGAGAGTGAAAGTGTGAGTGAGAGTGTGAGTGAGAGTGTGTGTGAGTGAAAGTATGAGTGAGTGAGAGAGTGAGTGAGAGTGTGAGTGTGTGATTGAGTGAGTGAGAGTGTGAGTGAGTGAGAGAGTGAGTGAGAGTGTGAGTGAGTGAGAGTGTGAGTGAGAGTGTGAGTGAGTGAGAGTGTAAGTGAGAGTGTGTGTGAGTGAGTGTTTGAGTGAGTGGAGAGTTTCCCATACCTGGGCAGTGTGCTTATGACCGGCTCCAGTTTAACAGCAGAGGTCTCACTCCGAATCAGTCAAGTGACAATGTCTTTTCATCGGTTGCGTAACGCTGTGTGGAAGCTACCTGGTCTGTCGCTCCGCACTAAGCTTCAGGTCTTCTCGGCCACGGTCATTCCCTCCCTTCTCTACGCTTGCGAAACGTGGACCCCCCTAATGGAACATCTTCGCCAGTTAGAAACATTTAGGCTGGCCTACCTACGATCCATCCTGGGTTTAACCAGACTGGATTGTGTGAGGAGCTCACAAATCCTTGAAAGATCTGGGCAAGGTCCCATCGGTGAGCTCCTCCGGCGGGCAAGGCTGCGATGGCTGGGTCATGTAGCCCGCATGCCCAGCCACCGCATGCCGAAACAGCTTTTGTTCGGCCGGATCGAGGTGCTAAATGGGCGCGGCACGGGCTAGAGAAGAGATGGAGTGATGTGGTACAAGAGGACGTGGAGCTGAGTGGACTTGCCAATGACTGGTACCAGCGGTGTCAAGATCGGCCTCTGTGGAGGAGGCTCGTGAAGGACGCTACTGGGCAGTTGGAGGTAGTCGCCCTCCAACAATAACGGAGGGCGGAGGAGCGACGCTCACAACAATGAGCGGAGCGCCGGGTGGCTAAAGCACAGCAGGTTGGCACAGTAGGGGGCACAGTAGGGGGCACAGGTGATGCATCAGCCAGTCATCTCAGCCATCTCAGTCAGTCGACCGGTGGCACCTGGGTCTGCCCCGTGACCTCCTGCCAGCGGGCGTTCGACACTTCACGTGGCCTCAAGGTGCACATGGCCTGGCACAAGCGTCGTGGTGACGTCACCGCCACTTAGTGGTGAATGGCGGTTGTTGTTGTGAGTGTGTGAGTGAGTGTGTGAGTGAGTGAGTGTGTGAGTGAGTGAGTGTGTGCGTGAGTGTATGAGTGAGTGTGTGAGTGTGTCAGTGAGTGTGTAAGTGAGTGTGTGAGTGAGTGTGTGAGTGTGTGTGTGTCAGTGAGTGTGAGTGAGTGTGAGTGAGTGTGTGAGTGAGTGTGTGAGTGAGTGTGTGTGTCAGTGAGTGTGAGTGAGTGTGAGTGACCGCGTGCGTGACTAACCTGGAAGAAAAGTTCAAGCACGCGAGCGTTGAGCAGCGAGTCTCTCCAGCTCGCCGTCGGCTTGAGCATCACGTTCTGAGAGGCCTCCAACAGCGCCATGTAGTGCCGGCCCAGTGCTGACGCGGCAGTCAAGGAACTCCGCAACAAGGGGGTACACCAAGGGGGATACCGAGGGGGTCCCCCCCCCCTCCCTATGAGGGGTCTATAAGGCGGTCGTTCTCAACCTTTAGTTGGTTACTTGTGTATCACCGCTCCTTGTTTCATTTTGTTTCAGCCGAGTAACTCCCGCCCCCTCCCCGACGCTGACCCAGCGTGGTTCTGAGTAAGTAAAAGCATGAATAAAGCCGACACGTTAAACAAATTGTTCATTCAGTGAGGTGTCACCCTGACTCGGCTGCCCGGTAACTGCAAGTGAAAATACATCAAAACCCCTGTGGAACCCCTGTGGAACCCCTACGGACACCCCTGTGGAACCCCTACGGACACCCCTGTGGAACCCCTACGGAACCCCTACGGAACCCCTACAGCACCCCTACGGACACCCCTATGGACACCCCTGTGGAACCCCTACAGAACCCCTATGGACACTCCTACGGACACCCCTGTGGAACCCCTACAGAACCCCTGTGGAACCCCTACAACACCCCTACGGCACCCCTACGGAACCCCTACAGCACCCCTACGGACACCCCAATGGACACCCCTGTGGAACCCCTACAGATATCCTGTGGAACCCCTACAGATATCCTGTGGAACCCCTACAGAACCCCTACGGACACCCCTACAGAACCCCTGTGGAACCCCTACGGATACCCTGTGGAACCCCTGTGGAACCCCTAAGGCACCCCTGTGGAACCCCTACAGAACCCCTGTGGAACTCCTACAGAACCCCTACAGCACCCCTACGGACACCCCTGTGGAACCTCTACGGCACCCCTACGGAACCCCTACGGAACCCCTATGGATACCCCTACGGATACCCCTGTGGAACCCATACAGAACCCCTACAGACACCCCTACGGATACCCCTACAAAGTCAAAACGGACGCTCTGCGTGCGTGACGTCATTCGTTCGCTGGCTGGTGACTCCGAGAGAGCCCGCGATTGATCAGCAGAAGGGGTCTCTTTTTATATTCCGTTCTGGATGGACATGCGGATTGCACATTGTTTTGGGTTTAGTTTTCACCGTCTTTATTTAACCTTGGCAGGTTCGTACGTGATTATTATTCACTAGTGGCACTCGCGTCTGATATACAAGTTCAGGCATTTATAAATCGGCTCGCGTAACCCCCCCCCCCCCCCCCCCCGGGACATTGCCGTGTACTTCACCCCCCCTCACCCCCCCACCCCCCCCACCCCCCCCCCCCCGGTTGACAGAGAGCCACTGCTAGAGGGGGTTGCACACAGGGGGGTTTGAATGTGGGGATCCGCAGGTGGTTCTATCAGGGTTCTAAGCCGATTCCATTCGGGTTCGGTAGGGGATCTTTAGGGGTTCCATAGGGATTCCGCAGGGGATCCGTAGGGGATCTGTAGGGGATCCGTAGGGGTTCCACATAGCCACCGTGGTCCACCCTAAATCGGCACCACGGTGGCTAGGAGATGTTAACTACCTCGCCTGGTATGCAGGAGGTCAGGGGTTCGATCCTGACCCTGACGCCTGCTGCTGTATATTTGGAGTTTGCGTGTCTCTCTCTCATCATCATCACGGTGTCTAGGAGATGTTAACTACCTCGCCTGGTATACAGGAGGCCGTGGGTTCCATCCCGACCGCGTTGCCTGTATATTTAGGGTTTGCGTGTCTCTCTCCTCATGGTCGTATGGATTTTTCTCCTGGTCCTCCGGTGTTTCTCTCCACGTCTGGAAACATGCGCTTTAGAGTATTTGGCTGCTGTAAATCTCCAAATGACAAGCCACTTTCGTTGAGCTGTCATTCGTGGCCAGGTCGCCTTATGAAAAAGAGCTACGTAGCTCAGTGCGCCTGACCACGACCGTGCTGATCGGAGGGGTCGAGAACGACTCGCCACACGGCGGAACTCCCGTTGGACGCGTCGCAGCGACGAGCGAGGATATGGTTGGGCGGGAGGAAGTTCCAGCTGAGCACCTGATTGGCGAGCGCCAAGAAGCGGTGGAACACGGAGGACATGTGCGCCGTGAGGTTGGGACACTTGCAGAACTCCTGCAGCATCTCCACGGTGAGCACGAACACCTGCTGCAGCTCCGACTCCTGGACACGGGCAAATGCAAAGAGATCCCCCCCCCAACCCCGTGTCACCGTCGAGCGCAACTGGACCTTTGGGCCGAGCGCCGTTTCAAGCGGGCAGCGCCAGGGGAGGTGGGCACGGCGCGCGACGCGGGGGTGGGTGGCCGGCAACACCGGCCGGCTCTCGTCTCCCGAGTGGCGGTGTCTACCACACGCGGCGCCGGGCAGGTCCCGGGACCGGTTCGGATGAACGCCGACGATGTCGGCCGCGAGCGGGAATCGAACTCGGGTCACGCACAGTGTACTAGCGACTACACTACGGCCGCCCCTGTGTGCGAGTGTGTGTGAGTGCGCACTTATGCACACAACACACGCACGCCCGCACATGGCTACACCTAAAAACATTCCAAGGATTCCCCGTGTAGCCTTCAACAGAACTGACGGGCCAAGTGCCGTTAGCGAGCAGCACCTATGAAGGCCGGCACGTCACACGAGGGGCTGGGTGGCCAGCACCACGCCCGGGCCGCCTTTGTCTCCCCCAGTGGCGATGTTTACACACCGCTACACCAGGCAATCATTTGAGGCCGAGCCGACCTAGGGGAGGCCCAGGACCGGTTCAGACAATCGTCACTGACGGTGTTGGCCGTCTGAGCGGGAATGTAACTCGGGTCGCCGGGCTCGTAGCGAAGCGTAGAGCGGCGAAGCGCTAACCGTGACGCCACCGCTCTCCCACACGGCTACACAAAGTTTCACCCCCCCCCCCCCCCGCCGCCCCCTCCACTCCCCCCCCCAGCCCCCCCCCCCCCGATAGACTGTGCACAGACTGTCGGGGGATACACGTGACACATCACAACAACCATACTCGGTGCATAAATTGTTTCTTGCTGTGGTTGTCCCACCTGATGATGGACGCTTGTGTTGCGCGCAGGCAACGTCGTGATTTAATTATTTTTCTACCTACTACGCGATGACTTTTTTTACCGAAAAAAGCAAAGAGAATGGATCCCTGCAGTCACGAAAACTTCAAATCTAGATCACAACAACCCTTTCACGAGGGTCCTGCCAGGTTATTTTTTCTAGTAGATGGGTGCGTGGGGGTGGGAGACAATGTCACTGCTGCTGTATGTGATCCCAGTCGAGTAATATAATAGTTATTAGTTCTAAACATAGTCGCGGTGGCTTTAAAAAAAAAATTTCGCCATTGCCATGAAGCAATACAACTAAAATGCCCGTTGAACTTCATTCGCAGCGTACATAGCCAACCGTGGCATATTTTTAAAACACGGGACCTTTCTGTTCCAGTATCAAAATATGCCAGAAAGGGTAAAACCTAATCTTGTTCTTTCCTAATTTGGGTTAACCTCGTCATAGGCGAGTACAATTTCAATTATTGGAGCCGCGTTCGTGAAGTAACAGCGAATGAGTCGCATGCCTAATTGTACAAGCGACAGTTAATTCAATCAATATAATTTTTAAAAATTGATCACACGCTGCCCATTGTAACTTCATCCCCTGCCTCAACCGGACATCTGTGAAAAAGAGAGATTCTGATGATTCTGATCCACAGGTCATGTTTCCAGCAATGGGATGTTTTTAACCAAAAGCCGTGACACTCGGTGATTTATTTTAGCCATGGGGGAGAGGGATAGCAAAGAGCCCTGGAGGAAGCCCAAGCATAAGACGGGGAGAGAGAGAGACAACATACAGAACCCGTGCCGTTATTACTCCGAGATACGAGTGTTAGCACCGTGACACGCTCCCACGTCCTAACCCGTAGACGATAACGACGATGCAGATGATGACGATGATGATGATGACGACGGCGGTGGCGAAGGTGGTGGATGTTGGGTGCCCCGTAGGTGCGTGGCCGGTACCAGCGACAAAACGCGAAGCAGCTGAGAAATCGGGGGAGCAGGGCCGAGCGCCATCCACGGCGGCTGGCGGCATGCGTGGCACGCACGCACGCACGCAAGCGCCGCGGCAAGCTCCTCCGACTGGCGCCGCGGGTCCCGACGCAACGTACGGAGGTACGCCCGTGCCCGCGCGCTAACGGTGCCGCGCGCAAGCGCAACCTCTCCTCCCCCCCAAAGTTCTTCTCGAAAGTTCTTCTCGCGGACGCACCGGCACCCTTCTCAGCGCGCGTGCGCGCGGGCGCGTGCCAGGGGCGCGAGTGGCACGGGCCGGAGGTGAAGGAGCGGCGGGCGCGGGGCGGCAGGGAGCGCGGGAGGGAGAAACGACGAGGGCTGGGCTGGAGCCGCCACCCGAGCCACAAACGGCCATTGTCATCGGCGTGGCGCTAAATTGGGAAGTGCCACGCGACAGAATGTGCCCGAGTGATCATGTGCAGACTTCTAACAATGCGCGCGACATGGGCACCCGGGCCACACTGCCCGCGCGCGTGTCTGCGCGCGTGCGCGTGTCTGTGCGCGTGTCTGTGCGCGTGTCTGTGCGCGTGCGTGCGAGCGTGCGCCTTCATAGGCGCTGCTACTCGCTACTAACAGCACTTGCCCCTACCTGGTGTGTGGTGACTAAACATCGTCACTGGGGAGACAAAGGCGGTCGGGCATGGTGTTGGCCACCAGCCCGCCCCCTCAAGGGTGAGCCGTGCCGTCCTTCGTAGGTGCTACTCACGAGCAGTATACTTGCCCCTAACAGTCTCTTGAGGCTATACGGGGGATCTTTGTGTGACTGTGTGTGTGTGAGTGTGCGGAGCGGGAGTGTAAAGGACGGTGCACTGCGCTACTAACCCCGCGACCCAAGTTCGATTCCCGCTCACGGCCGCCAACACCGGTGACGATTATTTGAACCGATCTCGGACCTCCGGTGGCTCGACTCGGCATCAAATGAGTACCTGGTGCGGTGTGGACCTTGCCACCCACTCCTTTGTGTACCGAGCCGGCCTTTATAGGCACTACTCGCTAACAGTACCAAATGTCTGTCAAGGCTGTGCGGGGAATCTTCGTCATTGTGCGTGTGACTATTGGTAGTTGTATATTGATATCGTGGTGCATCGGCCAGTCATCTCAGTTAGTCAACTCATGGCACCTGGGTCTGTCCCGTGACCTCCTGCCGGGAGCCTACCACACACTTAACGCCGTCTCAAGGTGCACATGCGCCGTGGCGATGTCACCGCCACTTAGTGGCGTATGGCGGTGGTGGTTGTTGTCGTTGTTGCTTGAGTGTTTGAGTACGGTGCTGGGTGGAGTGGAGGAGGTGAAGAAAGGGCTGAGACGCCGTTTGAATAACCGGCCACAGTTTTCCCCGGTGCCGATGCCGACACACCGCGCCAGTCAACCTCGGGAAGATCCAGGAACCGGTTCACATAATCGTCACCATGAGTGGGAATGGAACTCGGGCGGCCGGGTTCATAGCGCAGCGCGCTAACCGCTAGACTACCACCCCACCCTAACACACACACATGTACACGCGCACACACACGCGCACACACACGCGTACACACACACGTACACACGTACACACACACACGTTCACACGCGCACACACACATGCGCACACACACACGTACACGCACACACACACACGTTCACACACACACACGCGCACACACACACACGCGCACACACACACACGCGCACACACACACGTTCACACGCGCACACACACATGCACACACACACGCGTACACACACACGTTCACACACGCGCACACACACGCGTACACACACGTTCACACACGCGCACACACACGCGCGCACACACACGTGCACACACACACGCGCTCACACACACACACGCGCACACACACACGCGCACACACACACACGTTCACGCGCACACACACGCGCACACACACACGCACACACACGCGCACACACACATGCACACACACACGCGCACACACACGCGCACACACACGCGCACACACACGCGCACACACACGCGCACACACACACGCGCACACACACACACGCGCACACACACACGCGCACACACACGTTCACACACACACGCGCACCGCGACCCAACTCTCCCGAGCCCTCAAGGACAATGGTGCGCGCCGTCTATATTTGGGTGGTGACGGTAATTCAGCTCTCAGCCACAGATGGCAGAAGGCCCCCCACCACCACCACCACCACCACCCACCATGTCCCCCCCCCACCACGCGGCCACCCCCCCACATCCCCTTCGTTTTGTCTGAGTGTTCAAGCCGAGCGGGCGGCACAACGGGAGACGGACGGGGGGGGGGGTGGTGGTGCTGCAGGGGGGCGCTTATGTAAGCGGAGCTGGTGGTATGGGGGGCGGTGACGGGGGGGCGATGGGTGAGTGGGGGGCGGCCGTGCAGTGGGGGGCGGTGGTGGAAGGGGGGGGCAGAGGGAGGGGGGGGCGTGGGGGGGGGGCAGTGGGTGGGGGGCGGCGGTGATCAGAGTTCGATCCAGCGGCTAACATCTGTGGCGAGCGATACATCGTGTCCGCCATCAACACCACCACCACCGACCGGCAGTAACCGGCGTGGTGAAATACGGTCAAATAACACCCCAGCCCCCCCCCCCCGCCCCACCGCCCTCCCATGACCCACGTGGCGTGGGGGAGGCCCTCATCCAGCAGTGGATTGACAAAGGGGCTGCGCGTGTGTTGGAAGGTAAAGGCGCGGCACCGAAAGTGCTCGCCCGCGCCGCCGCCGCCGCCGCCGGCGGAAGTCCTCCCCCCGCACGAGAGTTGGTTCTAGGGGAGGACCTGGTGGAGAGTACTTGGCCTACTCTTCCACGCCGGCTCAGACGCCTTGCAATACGTGGCAGTTACCCGCTCCTTACCCCACCACCGCGCGCTCGCGACCCCGCCGATCACGAGGCCGGTGGGCCGGTGATGGATTCGAGAAAGTTGCGGCGGCGTTTCAACCGCCGGGCAGGGAGACGGGGAGTCGAACCCGGCGACTTCTGGACGGGAAGTGCAGTGCGCCGCTGACTGTTACACCGCCGTAGTGGTAGCTGCGTGGTAGCTGAGCGGTAGCTGAGCGGTAGCTGAGTGGTAGCTGAGCGGTAGCTGAGTGGTAGCTGAGCGGTAGCTGCGTGGTAGCTGAGCGGTAGCTGAGCGGTAGCTGCGTGGTAGCTGAGCGGTAGCTGAGCGGTAGCTGAGTGGTAGCTGAGCGGTAGCTGCGCGGTAGCTGAGTGGTAGCTGAGCGGTAGCTGCGTGGTAGCTGAGCGGTAGCTGCGTGGTAGCTGCGTGGTAGCTGAGTGGTAGCTGAGTGGTAGCTGCGTGGTAGCTGAGTGGTAGCTGAGTGGTAGCTGCGTGGTAGCTGAGTGGTAGGTGAGTGGTGGCTGAGTGGTAGCTGCGTGGTAGCTGAGTGGTAGCTGAGTGGTAGCTGCGTGGTTGCTGAGTGGTAGCTGCATGGTAACTGCATGGTAGCTGAGTGGTAGCTGCGTGGTAGCTGAGTGGTAGCTGAGTGGTAGCTGAGTGGTAGCTGCGTGGTTGCTGCATGGTAGCTGCGTGGTAGCTGCGTGGTAGCTGAGTGGTAGCTGCGTGGTAGCTGCGTGGTAGCTGAGCGGTAGCTGCGTGGTAGCTGAGTGGTAGCTGCGTGGTAGCTGTGCACAATGCATAACCGAGTGCTGGTACTGAACGAGAGAACTGGGGGTCCAGAGTCAAGTGGGAGCGGTGACACTGGCGGCCGTAGGGAGTCGTAGTGACAGGGGAGGGAGGGAGGAGAGGGAGGGAGGGAGCTCTGACACCTGTTGTTACACACTGGCCAAGTGCCCGTGTGTGTGTGTGCACGCGTGTGCATGAGCGGTGTAGCGGTTAGTGCGCTGCGCTACGAACCCAGCTACGACCCGAGTTCCATTCCTGCTCGCGGCCAACACCACAGTGATGATAATCTGAACCGGTCCTGGGCCTCCCCTAGGTCGACTCGGCCTCAAATGAGTACCCGGTGCGGTGTGTAAACATCGCCACTGGGGAGACAAAGGCGGCCGGGCGTGGTGCTGGCCACCCACCCTCTCGTGTGGAACAGTGCCGGTGTTCACAGGTGCTCGCTAACAGCACTTGCCCCAACAGTTCATGCTATCCGGGGGGATCTTTGTCTTTTATTGTGTTACTGCGTGTGCCTGCCAGCAGCAGCCTCCGACACTTCACGCGATGTTCTCAAAGTGCACCTAGCCTGGCACAAGCGCTGTGGTGACACCGCCGTCCACAAGGTGGTGAAGGCAGCAGCAGCTGTTGCTGTTGCGCGCGCGCGCGGTGGTTCATGCACCGCGCTATGAACCCTGCAATCCCATGGCGATTATCTCAACTGTGCACCGTGCGCAATATTCCCACGTGTGCCGCTGGACGGGCAGTGAGGGGCGGGGCTTGGTGACACAGTCAGCATTAGCTGCGTCGTGCTGGTGAGGGGAGGGGTGGGGGGCGTGGCTTGTGGGGGGTTTTCCGCCTTCGGGAGGAGGCAGGATGATTTGCATCATCGCAAAATAAAAAAAGGTAACACCGCACTACACCCGCGCCTGCAGTGTCACGAAACGTTAAAAGGGGAACCCCCAGTGGAATCTGCCCCTGTGCGGCACAAGGGGCACACACACACACACACAGAGGCACCGGCCTGCAAGCGGGAGGGCGAGGCTGTGATTGGCTATTCCCAATGTGGCAATTTCGCGAGTCGTTTACTCACATTTGGAAGGTTTGGAGAGCGACGCCGGCACGGGAATAACGCGACCGGGGGTCTTCAATAACGTTAACCGAGCAAAGCAAATGACTCGGGGTGCATCATGGTTCACGCACCGCAGTATTAACCAGGGCGGTCGCTGTGTGTGATAACGCTGTGTGTAGCGGTGATGACGGCGATGATGTCACCACAGTATTAACCAGGGCGGCCGCTGTGTGTGATAATGCCGCGTGTAGCGGTGATGACGGCGATGATGTCACACGCTATATTAACCAGGGCGGCCGCTGTGTGCGATGACGCCACGTATAGCGGTGATGACGGCGATGATGTCACACGCTATATTAACCAGGGCGGCCGCTGTGTGTGATAATGCCGCGTGTAGCGGTGATGACGGCGATGATGTCACCGCTGTATTAACCAGGGCGGCTGCTGTGTGTGATGACGCCGCGTGTAGCGGTGATGACGGCGATGATGTCACCGCAGTATTAACCAGGGCGGCCTGTGTGTGTGATAACGCTGCGTGTAGCGGTGATGACCACGATGATGTCACCGCAGTATTAACCAGGGTGGCCGCTGTGTGTGATGACGCCGTGTATAGCGGTGATGACGGCGATGATGTCACCGCAGTATTAACCAGGGTGGCCGCTGTGTGTGATGACGCCGCTGTGCGTGATGACGCCACGTATAGCGGTGATGACGGCGATGATGTCACATGCAGTATTAACCAGGGCGGCCGCTGTGTGTGATGACGCCGTGTGTCCCGGTGATGACCACGATGATGTCACGCGCAGTACTAACCGGGGCGGCCGCGGGCCTCGAACCACAATACCCCTACGCATCAAACGGCGTTCACGCTCCAGCCGCGTGAACGCCACACCCTCTCCCCCTCCCTTCCTCAATTAACCGGCTTCACCATTCATCCCGGCGCAGGCAAAGGGCGCCCGAGCGCCCGGCCGTGCCGCTGGTTCCGTCGCCACCTCGGCACGCCCGTGGCCCGTGGCACGACCGCGACGAGGGAGGCCGCACCTGGAAGGCCCGCTTGCAGGCTGCGTGCCGCTCCATGCTGAGGCCGATGCTGCTCGTCTTGCTGGAGCTGGCGAACTCGTGCAGCAGCGCCGTGAGGATGCAGCACGCCAGCGTTTGCTGCAGAAGACAGACGGGCACCCCCCGCGTACCCTTTAGGGGCATCTAGTGAGCGGCACGGCGTGGCGACGAGAGGGGGTGGTGCGTCCAAGCGCCACGCACGTTTTAGGCCGAGTCGACCTAGGGGAGTCCCGACACTGGTTTGGATATTCGCCACTGTTGTTGCTGCGTTATTAAATGATCATGACACATCTCGTCATCTCATCTCTTCATCTCACCACCCTATCTCGTCCCTTTACCTCATCCCTTTCTAGCAGCACATTCTCTCGCTCATCACGTTATCTCATCGTGGGTTTCGATCCCGATCCTGACGCCTGCTGCTGTATATTTGGAGTTTGCGTGTCTCTCTCTCTCTCTCATCATCATCATGGTGGCTATGAGATGTTAACTACCTCGCCTGGTATACAGGAGGTCGTGGGTTCGATCCCGACCCTGACGCCTGCTGCTGTATATTTGGAGTTTGCGTGTCTCTCTCCCCGTGGTGGTCGCGTGGATTTTTCTCCGGGTCCTCCCTCCGGTTTTTTCCCTTCCACATTTATAATCAACATCACGCGTTTGTTTGAGTATTTTGGCTGCTATACGTTCCAACACGACTTCGTTGGGCTACCGGTTGTGATGGCCCGGAAGCTTCTGAAAAAAAGCTACAAAGCTCAGAGGGCTTTAACTAAAAAAAAGCTGAGTTTTATTTGCGAGCATTAACTTTCACTGTGCCATGGTCATGGCCGGAATGTGTCAATGTAGTCCCCCCCCCCCCCAGTGGCCGATGCTGCCCTCTGCCGTTCAGCAGCGAGAGCTTCAGCATTCTAGAGCTCGGGTGGCCGAGGGGCGGCACAGCAGGAACAACTCGCGAGGCCGCACAGCAAGAATCGCCTGGGTTCGACTCCCCCACAACTCGGGTGTGGCCTTTCCTGCGTGAGGTTCGTAAGTCCTCCCGCCGTTCCGAATGGGCTTCCTCCGGGTTTTTCCGCTTTCTTCCCCATAGCAAAAAAGACAAAGATCCCCCGTGTAGCCTTAACAGACTGTTAGCGAGCAGCACCTATGAAGGCCGGAACGGCACACGAGGGGGTGGGTGGCCAGCACCACGCCCGACCGCCTTTGTCTCCCCAGTGGCGATGTTGACACACCGCACCGGGTACTCATTTGAGGCCGAGTCGACCTAGGTGGAGGTCCGGAACCGGTTCAGATAATCGTCGCCGGTGTTGGCCGTGAGCGCGAGTCGAACCCGGGTCGTCGGGTTCATAGCGCAGCGTAGCGCTAACCGCTGCACCACCGCTCCCCACGTAGCCCACAGCTAAACCCCACACGTTGACAATGTAACCGGCCGTTTGTCAAGGCACCCCCCCCCACCCACGGTGAAAAATGACACGGTCACATGACTCACTTGGGGGGGTGTCACACGCAGTGACGAACAACGTCGCCCCCCCCCCCTCGCCCTCCGCCACAAACACTCCTGGAAGAGACTTGTGACTCGGCGAGGCTTTGCTGGGTAAAGTCACTCACCATGGTGGTGGTGGTGGTGGACTCACCATGGTGGTGGTGGTGGACTCACCATGGTGGTGGACTCACCATGGTGGTGGTGGTGGACTCACCATGGTGGTGGTGGTGGACTCACCATGGTGGTGGTAGACTCACCATGGTCATGGTGGTGGGCTCACCATGTTCATGGTGGTGGACTCACCATGTTCATGGTGGTGGACTCACCATGCTGGTGGTGGTGGACTCACGATGGTGGTGATGGTAGACTCACCATGGTCGTGGTGGTGGACTCACCATGTTCATGGTGGTGGACTCACCATGGCGGTGGTGGTGGACTCACCATGGCGGCGGCGGCGGTGGTGGACTTACCATGGCGGTGGTGGACTCACCGTGGTGGTGGTGGACTCACCATGGCGGTGGTGGTGGTGGTGGTGGTGGTGGACTCACCGTGGTGGTGGTGGTGAACTCACCATGGCGGGGTTGCCGCTGCTGACCAGGTGGCTGACCTCGCCCAGGATGCTCTGGCAGCAGAGCGACTGTTCGCGGTCGGCCGAGCCGCGTTTGATGATCACCGCCACCGCCTGCAGGATCTGCTCCCTCACAAACTTCTGCAGCCTGCGCGGGGTCCACGGGCAACGACAGAGATCCCGTCCCCCACCCCGCGTGGACTCTCAAACAGGCCGTCGGGCCAAGGCGACGTTTCGCGAGTAGCTCCTACGAAGGCCGGCACCGGGCCAGGGGCCGTCCGTAGTGGGGGGTTCCGGGGCCCGGGGCAAACCCCAACCCCAACCCCAACCCCCCCCCCCCCCCCGCCCCACCGACGCCGTCAAACTAAAACTCCTGCGGCCGTCTGGAACGCTCTTCCTTCCGATGTTCGGAAGCCAATGGGAGCTCTGCCACTTTTAAATCATCATCTAGATTGACAAACTCTGTTTTTTTCTTCTTCTTGTTGTTGTTGTGTTTAGTGTTGTTGTCCTTACCGACGCGCCTCCGATTAGCACGGTTGGCTACTTACGGTGTGAAAGAAGTTCAACATCCCCACACACATACACGTCGGTTCAAACAGAGATTTGCTTCTGAGGTCTGACGAGATGCCTCGAGTGACCGCATTCCAGTTAAAAAAAAGTAATTAAAAATATAAACTAAAGAAATCGATAAATTAGAAAAAAAACGGCACTTTAAAAAAATATATATCTGCTGTGGTTTTCACACCTGATGATGATTGCTTGTGTTGCAGTCGAAACGTCGTGAGAATTGTATTGTTTTATATTTTTATTATTTTGTTGTTTCCCTTCTATGTGGTGGTGACTTTACCGAAAGAACCAAGAATATGAATCCCTGCAGTCACGAAAGCTTTAAATCTATGAACTCTTGTTTATTGTTACCAGGTAAGGCCCCACTGAGCAGCTTTTCACAAGCGACCTCCTGGCCATCACAACTTGATAGCCCAACGAAGTGGGCTTATCATCATCATCACGTGGAAATTTATAGCAACAGCCAACTACTCTGAACACGCGGCGTTGATTCTAAATGTGGAGAGGAAAAGTGGAGGACCCGGAGAAAAATCCACGCGACCACGGGGAGAGAGAGAGACACGCAAACTCCAAATATACAGCAGCAGGCGTCAGGTTTGGGATCGAACCCACGACCTCCTGTACACCAGGTGATGTAGTTAACATCTCATCAGGGTCGGCATCGAACCCACGACCTCCTGTATACCAGGCGAGGTAGTCAACATCTCATCAGGGTCGGGATCGAACCACGACCTCCTGTATACCAGGCGAGGAAGTTAACATCTCATCAGGGTCGGGATCCCCACGACCTCCAGTATACCAGGCGAGGTAGTTAACATCTCATCAGGGTCGAGATCGAACCCACGACCTCCTGTATACCAGGTGAGATAGTCAACATCTCATCAGGGTCGAGATCGAACCCACGACCTCCTGTATACCAGGCGAGGTAGTTAACATCTCATCAGGGTCGAGATCGAACCCACGACCTCCTGTATACCAGGCGAGGTAGTTAACATCTCATCAGGGTCGAGATCGAACCCACGATCTCCTGTATACCAGGCGAGGTAGTTAACATCTCATCAGGGTCGGGATCCCCACGACCTCCTGTATACCAGGCGAGGTAGTTAACATCTCATCAGGGTCGGGATCCCCACGACCTCCAGTATACCAGGCGAGGTAGTTACATCTCATCAGGGTCGGGATCGAACCCACGACCTCCTGTATACCAGGTGAGGTAGTCAACATCTCATCAGGGTCGGCATCCCCACGACGACCTGTATACCAGGCGAGGTAGTTAACATCTCATCAGGGTCGGGATCGAACCCACGACCTCCTGTAGACCAGGCGAGGTAGTTAACATCTCATCATTGTCGGCATCGAACCCACGACCTCCTGTATACCAGGCGAGGTAGTTAACATCTCATCAGGGTCGAGATCGAACCCACGACCTCCTGTATACCAGGCGAGGTAGGTAACATCTCATCAGGGTCAGGATCGAACCCACGACCTCCTGTATACCAGGTGAGATAGTCAACATCTCATCAGGGTCGAGATCGAACCCACGACCTCCTGTATACCAGGCGAGGTAGTTAACATCTCATCAGGGTCGGGATCCCCACGACCTCCTGTATACCAGGCGAGGTAGTTAACATCTCATCAGGGTCGAGATCGAACCCACGATCTCCTGTATACCAGGCGAGGTAGTTAACATCTCATCAGGGTCGGGATCCCCACGACCTCCTGTATACCAGGCGAGGTAGTTAACATCTCATCAGGGTCGGGATCCCCACGACCTCCTGTATACCAGGCGAGGTAGTTACATCTCATCAGGGTCGGGATCGAACCCACGACCTCCTGTATACCAGGTGAGGTAGTCAACATCTCATCAGGGTCGGCATCCCCACGACGACCTGTATACCAGGCGAGGTAGTTAACATCTCATCAGGGTCGGGATCGAACCCACGACCTCCTGTAGACCAGGCGAGGTAGTTAACATCTCATCATTGTCGGCATCGAACCCACGACCTCCTGTATACCAGGCGAGGTAGTTAACATCTCATCAGGGTCGAGATCGAACCCACGACCTCCTGTATACCAGGCGAGGTAGTTAACATCTCATCAGGGTCAGGATCGAACCCACGACCTCCTGTATACCAGGTGAGATAGTCAACATCTCATCAGGGTCGAGATCGAACCCACGACCTCCTGTATACCAGGCGAGGTAGTTAACATCTCATCAGGGTCGGGATCCCCACGACCTCCTGTATACCAGGCGAGGTAGTTAACATCTCATCAGGGTCGGGATCCCCACGACCTCCTGTATACCAGGCGAGGTAGTTACATCTCATCAGGGTCGGGATCGAACCCACGACCTCCTGTATACCAGGTGAGGTAGTCAACATCTCATCAGGGTCGGCATCCCCACGACGACCTGTATACCAGGCGAGGTAGTTAACATCTCATCAGGGTCGGGATCGAACCCACGACCTCCTGTAGACCAGGCGAGGTAGTTAACATCTCATCATTGTCGGCATCGAACCCACGACCTCCTGTATACCAGGCGAGGTAGTTAACATCTCATCAGGGTCGAGATCGAACCCACGACCTCCTGTATACCAGGCGAGGTAGTTAACATCTCATCAGGGTCAGGATCGAACCCACGACCTCCTGTATACCAGGTGAGATAGTCAACATCTCATCAGGGTCGAGATCGAACCCACGACCTCCTGTATACCAGGCGAGGTAGTTAACATCTCATCAGGGTCGGGATCCCCACGACCTCCTGTATACCAGGCGAGGTAGTTAACATCTCATCAGGGTCGAGATCGAACCCACGATCTCCTGTATACCAGGCGAGGTAGTTAACATCTCATCAGGGTCGGGATCCCCACGACCTCCTGTATACCAGGCGAGGTAGTTAACATCTCATCAGGGTCGGGATCCCCACGACCTCCTGTATACCAGGCGAGGTAGTTACATCTCATCAGGGTCGGGATCGAACCCACGAGCTCCTGTAGACCAGGCGAGGTAGTTAACATCTCATCATTGTCGGCATCGAACCCACGACCTCCTGTATATACCAGGCGAGGTAGTTAACATCTCATCAGGGTCGGGATCCCCACGACCTCCTGTATACCAGGCGAGGTAGTTAACATCTCATCAGGGTCGGGATCCCCACGACCTCCTGTATACCAGGCGAACATCTCGCCACCGTGGCACCCTACTACATGGGGGGGGGGGGGTGCCCCCCAAAGCGGGGGGGCACCCGGGACGGTCACCCCGATCCGCTGTCTCCCCCCTAGTCACGGCCTAGTCACGGCCTAGTCACGGCTCTAGTCACGGCTCTAGTCACGGCCTAGTCACGGCTCTAGTCACGGCCTAGTCACGGCTCTAGTCACGGCCCTAGTCACGGCCTAGTCACGGCTCTAGTCACGGCCTAGTCACGGCTCTAGTCACGGCCTAGTCACGGCTCTAGGCACGGCTCTAGGCACGGCCCTAGTCACGGCCCTAGTCACGGCCCTAGTCACGGCTCTAGTCACGGCTCTAGTCACGGCTCTAGTCACGGCCCTAGTCACGGCCTAGTCACGGCTCTAGTCACGGCCTAGTCACGGCTCTAGTCACGGCTCTAGTCACTGCTCTAGGCACGGCCTAGTCACGGCCTAGTCACGGCTCTAGTCACGGCCCTAGTCACGGCCTAGTCACGGCTCTAGTCACGGCCTAGTCACGGCCTAGTCACGGCTCTAGTCACGGCCCTAGTCACGGCCCTAGTCACTGCTCTAGTCACGGCTCTAGGCACGGCTCTAGTCACGGCTCTAGTCACGGCCCTAGTCACGGCTCTAGTCACGGCTCTAGTCACTGCTCTAGTCACGGCTCTAGGCATGGCTCTAGTCACGGCTCTAGTCACTGCTCTAGTCACGGCTCTAGTCACTGCTCTAGTCACGGCTCTAGTCACGGCTCTAGTCACTGCTCTAGTCACGGCTCTAGTCACGGCTCTAGTCACGGCCTAGTCACGGCTCTAGTCACGGCTCTAGTCACTGCTCTAGTCACGGCTCTAGTCACGGCTCTAGTCACGGCCCTAGTCACGGCTCTAGTCATGGCCCTAGTCACGGCTCTAGGCACGGCTCTAGTCACGGCTCTAGTCACGGCTCTCGTCACGGCCCTAGTCACGGCTCTAGTCACGGCTCTAGGCACGGCCTAGTCACGGCTCTAGTCACGGCTCTAGTCACGGCTCTAGTCACGGCCCTAGTCACGGCTCTAGTCACTGCTCTAGTCACGGCTCTAGTCACGGCCCTAGTCACGGCTCTAGGCACGGCCCTAGTCACTGCTCTAGTCACGGCTCTAGTCACTGCTCTAGTCACGGCCCTAGTCACTGCTCTAGTCACGGCTCTAGTCACGGCCTAGTCACGGCCCTAGTCACGGCTCTAGGCACGGCTCTAGTCACGGCTCTAGTCGCGGCCCTAGTCACGGCTCTAGTCACGGCCTAGTCACGGCTCTAGTCACGGCTCTAGTCACGGCCTAGTCACGGCTCTAGTCACGGCCCTAGTCACGGCTCTAGGCACGGCTCTAGTCACGGCTCTAGGCACGGCCCTAGTCACGGCTCTAGTCACGGCCTAGTCACGGCTCTAGTCGCGGCCCTAGTCACGGCTCTAGTCACGGCCTAGTCACGGCTCTAGTCACGGCTCTAGTCACGGCCTAGTCACGGCTCTAGTCACGGCCCTAGTCACGGCTCTAGTCACGGCCTAGTCACGGCTCTAGTCGCGGCCCTAGTCACGGCTCTAGTCACGGCCCTAGTCACGGCTCTAGGCACGGCCCTAGTCACTGCTCTAGTCACGGCTCTAGTCACTGCTCTAGGCACGGCCCTAGTCACTGCTCTAGTCACGGCTCTAGTCACTGCTCTAGTCACGGCCCTAGTCACGGCTCTAGGCACGGCTCTAGTCACGGCTCTAGGCACGGCCCTAGTCACGGCCCTAGTCACGGCTCTAGTCACGGCTCTAGGCACGGCTCTAGTCACGGCTCTAGTCACGGCCCTAGTCACTGCTCTAGGCACGGCTCTAGTCACGGCACACCTACGAGCGTACGGTATTGCCAGCACCACGCCGGGCCGCCTTCGCGCCGACGTTTACCGCACGCCGCGGCAGGCACTCGTCGTTAAGGCCGAGCCGACCTCGGGAGAGGGAGGCCCCGGGACCAGTTCAGAACCGAGCCGCGGTCATTGGCCGCGAGCGGGGCTCGGGCCCGCCGGGTCCGCGGCGCGAGCGCGCCAACCGCTGCGCCGCCGCTCCCCGAAGGCAAAGACGCACGCCGCGTCGTTGAGCAAAGCAAACAAACACACAGGACACACACGTGTACATACGCACGGGTCATGTTTACACACACACACACACACAGCCTGCGGAACACAGGGGGGGCATTAACGTGCACACCCGGCGCACGCAAAAATGGAATCAAACCCCGGTCCGCTTCGTTGCCACGAGGCGCCGAGCGTCACCATGAGCCGCCGCCGCCGCCGCCGCCGCCACCCTGCCACCGGCCAATGAGCGCGCGGGAAGCTCGTTGCCGAGGCGACGGTGCGATTCAGAAACTTGCGGGCCGCATCGCTACGAGGCCACGAACTGGCACCCCCCCCCACCTCCTCCTCTACGAATCGGCTCAGGACAACGCCTCTCGCTTCTCCCACACCTCCGATTGGCACGGTTGGCTACGTGCGGTGCTAAAGAAGAGAGAGAGGGAGAGGGGGTGGTGGTGGGGGGTCGCTCACCCGGGCCTCTGCAGCACGTAGTTGAGCAGGAAGGAGCGCAGGGACTCTACGGTGCTGTGATCCAGCAGCACCCACTCCCGCATGGCCGCCTCCATGATGGTGGTGACGGCTTGGAAGAGGACGTAGTCCACGCGGCTCGTCTCTGCTCGCGCACGCACGCACGCACGCGCAGACGCACGCACGGTCACACGGATACACGCGCGGGCAGTCGCACGCACGCGCAGATGTGCACGTGGCCACACGCTCGCACGCAGATCGCACCAGGTACCCATTCCGAGGCCAGGCCGATCTAAGCGAGGGCCCAGGACCGGTGTAGATCATCGTCGCAGATGTTGGCCATGAGTGGGAGTTGAACGCGGGTCACCGAGTTTGTCGTGCGCTGCGCTAACCGCTACATTATCGCAGTCACACACACTCGCGGGGACATGCACACGGTCCAAACGAGCAGGCGCCAACACTCTCGCTCAGACAACCACTCGCAGATTTGCACACTCACTCTTTTGCTCGTTCGCTCACGCGCTCACTCACCTACGTGTGCATGTGCGTGTAGGGAGCGGTAGTGTAGCGGGTAGCCCGGAGGGCTACGAACCCAGCGACCCGAGTTCGATACCCGACGATAATTCAAACTGGTTCAAGGTCTCCCCGAGGTTGACTCAGCCTCAAATGAGCACCTGGTGCGGTGTGTAGTAAACATCGCCACTGGGGTGACAAAGGCGGCCGGGCGTGGTGCTGGCCACCCACCCCCTCGTGTGCCGTGCCGGCCTTCACAGGTGCTGCTCGCTAACAGCACTTGCCCCTACAGTCTGTTAAGGTTATACGGGGGATCTTGGTGGCGAGATGTTCACTCACTCGGCTGGTAGGTAAGAGGTCGTGGGTTCAATACCGACCCTGATGAGATGTTAACTACCTCGCCTGGTATACACGAGGCCGTGGGTTCGATACCGACCCTGACTCCTGCTGCTGTATATTTGGAGTTTGCGTGTCTCTCTTTCTCATCATCATCACGGTGTCTAGGAGATGTTAACTACCTCGCCTGGTATACAAGAGGCCGTGGGTTCGATACCGACCCTGACGCCTGCTGCTGTATATTTGGAGTTTGCGTGTTCTCCCCGCGGACACGTGGATTTTTCTCTGGGTTCCCTGGCTGCCATAAATTTCCACGTGATAAGCCACTTCGTTGAGCTACCATTTATGGTAGCCAGATCACGTCTGAAAATGAGCTACATACAGTGAGGGAAAAAAGTAATTGATCCCCTGCTGATTTTGTACGTTTGCCCACTGACAAAGAAATGATCAGTCTATAATTTTAACGGTAGGTTTATTTGAACAGTGAGAGACAGAATAACAACAACAAAATAAAAAAAACGCATGTCAAAAATGTTATAAATTGATGTGCATTTTAATGAGGGAAATAAGTATTTGACCCCTCTGCAAAATATGACTTAGTACTTGTTGGCAAAACCCTTGTTGGCAATCACAGAGGTCAGACGTTTCTTGGAGTTGGCCACCAGGTTTGCACACATCTCAGGAGGGATTTTGTCCCACTCCTTCTCCAATTCATTAAGGTTTCGAGGCTGATGTTTGGCAACTCGAACCTTCAGCTCCCTCCACAGATATTCTATGGGATTAAGGTCTGGAGACTGGTTAGGCCACTCCAGCACCTTAATGTGCTTCTTATTGAGCCACTCCTTTGTTGCCTTGGCCGTGTGTTTTGGGTCATTGTCATGCTGGAATACCCATCCACGACCCATTTTCAATGCCCTGGCTGAGGGAAGGAGGTTCTCACCCAAGATTTGACGGTACATGGCCCCGTCCATCGTCCCTTTGATGCGGTGAAGTTGTCCTGTCACCTTAGCAGAAAAACACCCCCAAAGCATAATGTTTCCACCTCCATGTTTGACGGTGGGGATGGTGTTCTTGGGGTCATAGGCAGCATTCCTCCTCCTCCAAACACGGCGAGTTGAGTTGATGCCAAAGAGCTCCATTTTGGTCTCATCTGACCACAACACTTTCACCCAGTTGTCCTCTGAATCATTCAGATGTTCATTGGCAAACTTCAGATGGGCATGTATATGTGCTTTCTTGAGCAGGGGGACATTGCGGGCGCTGCAGGATTTCAGTCCTTCACGGCGTAGTGTGTTACCAATTGTTTTCTTGGTGACTATGGTCCCAGCTGCCTTGAGATCATTGACAAGATCCTCCCGTGAGTTCTGGGCTGATTCCTCACCGTTCTCATGATCATTGCAACTCCACGAGGTGAGATCTTGCATGCAGCCCCAGGCCGAGGGAGATTGACAGTTCTTTTGTGTTTCTTACATTTGCGAATAATCGAACCAACTGTTGTCACCTTCTCACCAAGCTGCTTGGCAATGGTCTTGTAGCCCATTCCAGCCTTGTGTAGGTCTACAATCTTGTCCCTGACATCCTTGGAGAGCTCTTTGGTCTTGGCCATTGTGGAGAGTTTGGAATCTGATTGATTGATTGATTGCTTCTGTGGACAGGTGTCTTCTATACAGGTAACAAGCTGATATTAGGAGCACTCCCTTTAAGAGTGTACTCCTAATCTCAGCTCGTTACCTGTATAAAAGACACCTGGGAGCCAGAAATCTTTCCGATTGAGAGGGGGTCAAATACTTAATTCCCTCATTAAAATGCAAATCAATTTATAACATTTTTGACATGCATTTTTCTGGATTTTCTTGTTGTTATTCTGTCTCTCACTGTTCAAATAAACCTACCATTAAAATTATAGACTGATCATTTCTTTGTCAGTGGGCAAACGTACAAAATCAGCAGGAAATCAAATGCTTTTTTCCCTCACTGTAGTCCAGTGGGCCTCACCTGGTAAAAATAAAAGATAGTTCAGGTTAATCGCTGTAGCTCACTCAGGATGTGTCGGCACACACATGCACACGTACAGGCATTACAGGGTCACACGCACACGCGCTAACACAATCGCTCAGACAAGCACTCACATATTCAATCACTGACCTCGCTCAACAATTTGCGTGCACTCCCTCCTTGGCTCGTTAGCTCACTCATCCACACCTCACACTCACCCGCGTGTACGTGCATGTGAGTGAGTCCGTGTGAGTATGTGTGCGTGAGTGCGTGAGTGAGTGTGTGAGTGAGTGCGTGAGTGCGTGAGTGCGTGAGTGCGTGCATGTGCGTGAGTCCGTGAGTATGTGTGAGTGAGTGCATGAGTGCGTGCATGAGTGAGTGCGTGAATGGTGAGTGCGTGAGCGAGTGTATGAGTGCGTGTGTGAGTGAGTGCGTGAGTGAGTGAGTGTTGAGTGCGTGGTGAGTGCGTGAGTGAGTGCGTGAGTGAGTGCGAGCGTGCGTGAGTGACTGAGTGAGTACGTAAGTGCGTGAGTGCGTGGTGAGTGCATGAGTGAGTGCGTGCGTGACTGAGTGAGCACGTGAGTGCGTGCGTGAGTGAGCGAGTGCGTGAGAGCGTGCGTGAGTGCGATAGTGCGTGAGAGCTTCAGTGAGTGCGTAAGTGAGTGCGTGAGTGAGTGCGTGAGTGAATGCATTAGTGAGTGCGTGCGTGCGTGCGTGGGTGGGTGAGTGCGTGAGTGCGCGAGTGAGTGCGTGAGTGTGAGTGAGTGCGTGCTTGAGTGAGTAAGTAGGTCAGTGAGTGCTTGAGTAAGTGCGTGAGTGAGTGAGTGCGTAGTGGGTGTATGAGTGAGAGTGTGAGTACGTGAGTGCATGAGTGAGTGAGTGCGTAAGTGTGTGTGTGAGTGCTTAAGTGCGTGAGTGAGTGCGTGCGTCAGTGCGTGAGTGAGTGTGTGAGTGAGTGAGTGTGTGAGTGAGTGCTTGAGTGAGTGCGTGCGTCAGTGCGTGAGTGAATGCATGCGTCAGTGCGTGAAAGTGTGAATGAGTGCGTGAGTATGAGTGTGTGTGAGTGAGTGCGTGAGTGAGTGCGTGAGTGAGTGAGTGAGTGCACGAGTGCGTGAGTGAATGCGTGAGTGAGTGAGTTAGTGCGTGAGTGCGTGAGTGCGTGAGTGAGTGAGTGCGTGAGTGAGTGTATGAGTGAGTGAGTGAATGCGTGAGTGAGTGAGTGCGTGAGTGAGTGAGTGCGTGAGTGAGTGAGTGCGTGAGTGAGTGAATGCGTGAGTGAGTGAATGCGTGCGTGAGTGAATGCGTGCGTGAGTGAGTGCGTGAGTGCATGCATGAGTGAGTGCGTGAGTGAGTGCATTAGTGAGTGCATGCATGAGGGCGCGAGTGTGCATGCGTGAGTGCGTTAGTGCGTAAGTGCTTTAGTGAGCGCGTGAGCAGGCGTGCGAGTACTGAGTAAGTGAGTGCATGAGTGAGTGCTTGAGTGAGTGCATGAGTGAGTGCATGAGTGAGTGCGTGAGTGAGTAAGTGAGTGAGTGCGTGAGTGAGTGCATGAGTGTGTGAGTGACTGCGTGGAGTGTGTAAATGAGTGAGTGCATTAGTGCATACGTGCATGGGTATGTGAGTGAGTGCATGGGGAATGCGTGTGTGAGTACGTGAGTGAGTGCGTCAGTGAGTGCGTGAGTGCTTGAGTTGGTGTGTGAGTGAGTATGTGAGTGAGTGCGTGAGTGCGAGAGTGAGCGCGTGGTGAGTGAGTGCGTGGTGAGTGAGTGAGTACGTGAGTGCGTGGTGAGTGTATGAGTGAGAGTGTGAGTACGTGAGTGAGTGCATGCGTGAGTGTGTGCGTGAGCGCGTGAGTGCGTGAGTGCTTGAGAGAGCGTGAGTGAGTGTGCGTGAGTGCGTGAGTGCATGAGTGAGTGTGTGTGTGTGAGCGTGTGAGTGCGCGCAAGAGTAAGTGCGTGTGTGAGTGAGCGCGTAAGTGAGTGCGTGTGTGAGTGAGCGCGTGAGTGAGTGCGTGTGTGAGTGAGCGCGCGCGTGAGTGGGTGAGTGCATGAGTGAGTGAGCGCGTGAGTGGGTGAGTGCATGAGTGAGTGAGCGCGTGAGTGCGCGCGTGAGTGGGTGAGTGAATGAGTGAGTGAGTGCGTGCGTGAGTGAGTGCATGAGTGAGTGAGTGCGTGCTTGAGTGCACCAGTGGTAGCTCACCCAGGATGTATCGGCACGCACGCGCAGACGCGCACGCGGTCACACGCGCTAACACACTCACTCAGACAACAGCTCGCTCGCTCACCCACCCACTCCTCACACGCGCGAGTGAGCGAGTGAGCGAGTGAGTAGCCAGCGGTCGCTCACCCAGGATGTGCCGGCACACTGCGTAGGGCGACTTGGATTTGCGGAAGGCCAGGAAGATGTGCTCGGCATGCTGCCTCTGCTCGTGCGTCACCAGCGACGGCGGGGCCTGCAGACAAGACAAAGAACGCCGCCGCCCGTTATTTGACCGCGAGCGGGGATGATGAAGCTGTTGCTGGTGATGATGATGGTGATGATGCTGCTGGTGATGATGAAGCTGTTGCAGGTGATGATGAAGCTGTTGCTGGTGATGATGATGATGCTGGTGATGCTGCTGCTGCAGGTGATGATGCTGGTGATGAAGCTGCTGTTGGTGATGATGCTGCTGCTGGTGATGATGATGATGCTGGTGATGATGCTGCTGGTGATGATGATGCTGGTGATGATGCTGCTGCAGGTGATGATGATGCTGGTGATGATGCTGGTGATGATGCTGCTGGTGATGATGCTGCTGGTGATGATGCTGCTGGTGATGCTGCTGGTGATGAAGCTGCTGTTGGTGATGATGCTGCTGCTGGTGATGATGCTGCTGCTGGTGATGATGCTGCTGCTGGTGATGATGATGCTGGTGATGATGATGCTGGTGATGATGCTGCTGGTGATGATGCTGTTGCTGGTGATGATGAAGCTGCTGCTGGTGATGATGATGCTGGTGATGCTGCTGGTGATGCTGCTGGTGATGATGCTGGTGATGATGCTGCTGGTGATGATGATGATGCTGGTGATGATGATGATGCTGGTGATGAAGCTGCTGCTGGTGATGCTGCTGGTGATGATGATGCTGGTGATGATGCTGGTGATGCTGCTGCTGGTGATGATGATGCTGGTGATGCTGCTGCTGGTGATGCTGCTGTTGCTGGTGATGATGATGCTGGTGATGATGCTGTTGCTGGTGATGATGAAGCTGCTGCTGGTGATGATGATGCTGTTGCTGCTGCTGGTGATGATGCTGCTGGTGATGATGATGCTGCTGCTGGTGATGATGATGCTGCTGCTGGTGATGATGCTGCTGGTGATGATGATGCTGCTGCTGGTGATGATGATGCTGCTGCTGGTGATGATGCTGCTGCTGGTGATGCTGCTGCTGCTGGTGATGATGATGATGCTGCTGGTGATGATGATGCTGCTGGTGATGAAGCTGCTGCTGCTGGTGATGATGATGCTGCTGGTGATGCTGCTGCTGGTGATGATGCTGCTGCTGGTGATGATGATGCTGCTGGTGATGCTGCTGCTGGTGATGATGCTGCTGCTGGTGATGACGAAGCTGACGATGGGTGGGCGTGCGATTTCCACTTTCCAGTTCATCTCGCAGGCGTTTGGAAAACGCGCGGTTTGTTATTTTTCTTTTCTTCTATTGTTTGTTTATAGGCATTAAAACAGGCCAGCCCGGTTATCGCAATCTCGGAGCACAGATCTGAAGCGGCCAGGGCATGCGGCGGCGGCGGCGACGCCGACGACGTCACAGCCAAACACACGGTGACACGGCGCGGGGAATGAGCGTGCGTCGGCTCTTTCGTTTACTATACAGGGCGGTCCACATGTCCTGTGACCCCCCCCCCCGGGTCATATTAACCCTTTCCCGTTCCGAGACGCTTGCACGCTGGAGGGTGGGCGATGGGGGGGGGTGTCTCCGTTCGCCACCAAATCTCGGAACGCGCGAGCGGCTCGCCGTTCATTTTATTTAGAGGATGCGTTGTAGCAGCAGTAGTAGCAGCAGTAGTAGCAGCAGCAGTAGCAGCAGCAGTAGCAGCAGCAGTAGTAGCAGTAGTAGCAGCAGCAGCAATAGTAGCAGCAGCAGCAGTAGTAGCAGCAGCAGTAGTAGCAGCAGCAGTAGTAGTAGCAACAGTAGTAGCAGCAGCAGTAGTAGCAGCAGTAGCAGCAGCAGTAGCAGCAGTAGTAGCAGTAGTAGCAGCAGCAGTAGCAGCAGCAGTAGCAGCAGTAGTAACAGCAGTAGTAGCAACAGCAGCAATAGTAGCAGCAGCAGCAGTAGTAGCAGCAGCAGCAGTAGTAGCAGCAGCAGCAGTAGTAGCAGCAGCAGCAGTAGTAGCAGCAGCAGTAGCAGCAGCAGTAGTAGCAGCAGCAGTAGCAGCAGCAGTAGTAACAGCAGTATTATCAGGAGCAGCAGCAGTAGTAGCAGCAGCAGCAGTAGCAGCAGTAGTAGCAGCAGCAGTAGAAGCAGCAGTAGTATCAGTAGGAGCAGCAGTAGTAGCAGCAGCAGTAGTAGTAGCAGCAGTAGTACCAGGAGCAGCAGTAGTATCAGTAGTAGTAGCAGCAGTAGCAGCAGTAGTATCAGTAGTAGCAGCAGTAGCAGCAGCAGCAGTAGCAGCAGCAGTAGTGTCAGTAGTAGTAGCAGCAGCAGTAGCAGCATCAGTAGTAGCAGTAGTATCAGTAGTAGTAGCAGTAGCAGCAGTAGTATCAGTAGTAGTAGCAGTAGCAGCAGTAGCAGCAGTAGTAGTAGCAGTAGCAGCAGTAGCAGCAGCAATAGTGTCAGTAGTAGCAGCAGTAGCAGCAGCAGTAGTATCAGCAGCAGTAGCAGCAGTAGTAGCAGCAGTAGTATCAGTAGGAGCAGCAGTAGCAGTAGAATCAGTAGTAGTAGTATCAGTAGGTGCAGCAGCAGTAGTAGTATCAGCAGTAGTAGCAGCAGCAGTAGTAACAGCAGTATTATCAGGAGCAGCAGCAGCAGTAGTAGCAGCAGTAGTAGCAGCAGCAGCAGTAGAAGCAGCAGCAGTAGCAGCAGTAGTAGCAGCAGTAGTATCAGTAGGAGCAGCAGCAGCAGTAGTAGCAGCAGTAGTAGTAGCAGCAGTAGTATCAGTAGGAGCAGCAGTAGTATCAGTAGTAGTAGCAGCAGTAGCAGCAGCGGTAGTATCAGTAGTAGCAGCAGTAGCAGCAGCAGTAGTGTCAGTAGTAATAGCAGCAGCAATAGCAGCAGCAGTAGTAGCAGCAGTAGCAGCAGTAGTATCAGTAGTAGTAGCAGTAGCAGCAGTAGCAGCAGTAGTAGGAGTAGCAGCAGTAGTGTTAGTAGTAGCAGCAGTAGCAGTAGTAGCAGCAGCAGTAGTATCAGTAGGCGCAGCAGTAGTAGTATCAGTAGTAGCAGCAGTAGCAGCAGCAGTAGTATCAGCAGCAGCAGTAGTATCAGCAGCAGTAGCAGCAGTAGTAGCAGCAGCAGTAGCATCAGTAGGAGCAGCAGTAGCAGTAGTATCAGTAGTAGTAGTATCAGTAGGCGCAGCAGCAGTAGTAGTAGTATCAGCAGTAGTATCAGCAGCAGTAGCAGCAGCATTAGTATCAGCAGTAGTAGTATCAGCAGTAGGCGCAGCAGCAGTAGCAACGCCGTTGTTTTCAGAGAACCGTAGCGACACGACCACCACTCTACGTAAATTGGCACCAAACTGTGCCACCCACTACTACCACCCACTATTACCACCCACTACTACCACCCACTATTACCACCCACTACTACCACCCATAACAGAGGTTTTTTCGGGTCCGCCAGGCACTGCCTGCTTTTGTCTCATCCACCACACTGTGTTCAACTACCTCCACCACACTGCAGGTCACAACAGCACTCGCTCACCCACACACTCACCCACATACTCAACAACACACTCACGCACTCACCACACTGCAGGTCACAACAGCACTCACTCACCCACTCACTCACCACACTGTAGCTTACAACAGCACTCACTCACCCACCCACCTCACCCACTCACCACACTGCAGCTCACAACAGCACCCACTCATCCACCTCACCCACCAACTCACCACACTGCAGCTCCCACTCACTCACCCACCTCACCCACCCACCCACTCACCACACTGCAAGTCACAACAGCACCCACACACCCACCTCGCCCACCAACTCACCACACTGCAGCTCACAACAACACCCACTCACCCACCTCATTCACCCACCTCATTCACCCACCCACTCACCACAATGTAGCTCACAACAGCACTCACTCACCCACCCACTCACCACACTGCAAGTCACAACAGCACCCACTCACCCACCACATTCACCCACCTCATTCACCCACCCACTCACCACAATGTAGCTAACAACAGCACCCACTCACCCACTCACCCACCTCACCCACCCACTCACCACACTGCAGCTCACAACAGCACCCACTCACCCACCACATTCACCCACCACATTCACCCACCTCACCCACCCACTCACCACACTGCAGCTAACAACGCTTCTCATTCTGCTCCGTCCCTCGCACCGCTCCACTTTGAAATTCCCGACCGTCATCGTCCTCTTTCCCTCTCCCTCCCACCCAAGTTTTTTTTTTTTTACAACGTGACCCAATTGAACAAACCGCGTGAACTTCTTTATATTTCACAAAAAACTTAACGGGTGCTGTTCGTTGCTGACCGCTTGACGTTTCGGGTCTTTTGGACCATACAAACAAAAAAGATTTGGACAATAAACATTTGCCACCGGCTGTTTCCACGTCCCCCCCCCCTCCTCTCACGTGCCACGCGAGCTCTGAATCCAATGTGCCAAGGGCCTCGCACCAACAATGGGTACCAGGTGGAACTCGTCCGGACGTCGCTTTAGCCCTGATCGTCGGAGCAAACCCAAAAGGTTTAAGAGACCACAGGAATGAGTCAGGAACCAAGAAGCCGCAGTCAGAAGCCGCAAGGAATTCCCCGGGTTTATCCAGGATTTCCCAGGGTATACCAGATGCTAGCAGCGGGGGAAGAGGAGCTACACGAATGTCCTCCGGGGGTGATCGCAGACAGAGATGTCCCCTCGGGGGTACATGGAAAATCGGCGAGACCCCCCCCCCCCGGGCCCCGAGCTTTGGGGGGCCCTCGCGATTCGATGTCACGGTGTCGGATGTAATAATGCAGGTTTAGTTTGAAAGCGTCGGGGGGGGGGGGCCCATACGGAGTGGGCACCCGGGTGGCAGGGAGATGTTAACTACCTCGCCTGGTGTCCAGGAAGTCGTAGGTTTGATTCCCGACGCTTGTTGTATATCTGGAGTTTACATGTCTCTCTCTCTCTCATCATCATCACGGTGGCTAGGAGATGTTAACTACTTCGCCTTGCATACAGAAAGTCGTAGGTTTGATCCCGACCCCGGCGCCTGCTGTATA